TCTTTATTTATTATTTTGTTTACATTTAAATTTAAATTTATTGAAAGTCCATTGCTTGAATTGAATTAAGGCTGCACGAAAATTAAGTAAATTAAAACGGTAAAAATATTTTAAAATTGATTAAAACAGCGCTAGGCCTAAATATATGTATCTAAGATAAATATTTGTTAAAATATTTATTAAAATACATTTTTTATATTTTCTATATAAATATAAATGCTCATTCAAAACTCCATCAAAAACGAATTTATTAGCATTCATATACAATATGGGACAGTCTACATATAGATAAGTAATTTTTCAAAGATCCTTAAACTTATTAACATAAGAGACTCACTTGTATAAAGCAATAGATAATTGGCTGATCTCAAAGATCTTAGATAGGGGCTTTTAACACTTTCATTATTTTCTATTTACATTTTACACTCGCTTATCTGGAGGTTTTCCTGTCTTACTTTATAAAGCTGTCTGTAAAAATTCAATTAGGAGACTGTCTGTCAATTAGGAGACTGTCACACTGTCTGCAATATCTGTTACTTCTCAACACAAACAAGCAACACTTGACTCGGCCAACGCCCAATAATGTTTTTGCACCGTGAATTTCGTATTCGGTTTGCTAATTGTTCATGCCTCGCCTGCTTTGGCTTCTCTGCCCTCAACTCCTGCTAGCTCTTTACTCTAACCTCAATCTGCCGTTTCCTTTGCATATTTCTGCAACACCTTTGACGCCGCAAATGTCGTCAACGTCGTCTCCGCCGTAGCTACGTTGCAATTGAGGCTTCTGTGGTCGGCAGTCGACACCTCGACTGTCCTGCGGCTATCCTGACATGGCTTAGCATAGCTCAATATAATTGCTTTCGCTCCTCGTCAACTGTTTGGTTCTCTGTAGATAAATATTATTTGACGAATTGAATTCAGTTTGAGCTGCAATCGAATTTCAAATATTCGAATCCAGCTTCAATTTATTTAGTCCATCTGAGCTTAAATTAATTCCGCACGTAAACACGGACTCGTCTGCGCGTTACAGCACGCCGATTCTTGTTGCGCCTGACTCCTGGTCGAGCCCGAGTTCTTTTTTTTACTTTGCGCACTCGCCTCACTGGCTTGGGTTTCCTCCTCCTCCTCCTCCTCCTGACGCCGTTGTTGCCATTATTGATGGGTGCAGTCACATCCTCATCGGTATCATCTGTATCGACATCGTCAACCGCTGTCCCATCATCCCCCTCTGCCTCGTCTGGGTAATTTGGATCGAGTGGCGCCAGATCTTCAACGCAGTCTGCATGCTGCTCATTGGCCGGATCGTCGCAGTCAGTGCAGCCAGGTGGATCGTTTACATCAATGCACGCCTCAGCATTGCCCCGAGGCAAGTGGACCACCAGCAGGGCGAGCACTGCGAGGCTCAAAGTTATTTTTATGGCCCTCATCTGAGCTCAATCTGGGAGGGAATGTGAATTCTCGCCTTTTATAGATTTCTCTCAATTACTTTTGGTTGAATATTTTGCAGTAGTTTATTCAGCCGTTTGTTCTGCTTGACTTTACTATTTATTCTTATTATTTTTATTTTTATTTATTTTTTTTCTTTTATTTACCTTTTTTTTTCAATTGAGAGAAGATTTTTTGTCATACTCGCAGAACTGTTCTATTGACTATTTACACAGTTGTTATTTAGATACACATAGTTTGTTTGAGTTTAATAAGTACGCATCAGAATTTTCCATTCACAATTTCAATCGAAGCCCAAAATCTTGTATATGAGAATATGTAGTGCTTGCAGTAGATAAAATTAAATTGGAAGGTATGCTCGACTAACATTTCCAATTCAAAAAGGTTCTTAACGAATGTAAACCCAAAAGTACATTATTTGCTGTCTCATAAATTTCCAATAATTTAATTTTAATTTAGGTTTAAATTTATAAAATGAAATAATCATATATTTGAAAAACAAAAACTTGAAAGGGATTATATAAAAAATTATACAAATTTTAATAATATAAAAACAATAAAATAAAATAAATAAATAAAATACATATGTATGCTGTAAAGGTTTACAGCATAAAAAATGTTAATAGCGAAATTAAGCCTAAAAGTATATTATTTTCTATCTCACGTATTCATAGCCATAGATCAAAAGTCAATCAGAATAAATAATTTAATATCAATAAAAATATTAAATATCAATATAAAAGTGCAATGCTTTATATTATCGAAGACTTTGAGAGCTGAAATTTTATCATGATAACTACATTGCTCTCGAAATTAAATTTCAGAAAATTAAACTTAGCGAGTTTAATATTATTTAACTATAAGATATAATTTAAAGTTCAAATAACTTCGATTCAGTTAAATTTTAATTTAATTTAATATTCAATAACTAAATAAAAAATAAATAAATAAATAAATAAACAAAATTCATGTATTCATGTATTATGTACCATTTACAACATCAAAAAGATATTAACAAAAGTCAGCCTGAAATTCCCAGCCATATAAAATCAAATTCTACCACACTCTAATACAGACAGTCTAAAACAGACAATCAGCTTGAGATGCTGCTGTAGAAATGTGTTCAGTCTAAACAAATGACATTTGGTATTTAAATACAAGCATAACAATTAGAATAACACTTAGTATCTGCTAATCGCCCTTGTCAAGTGGCTTGTTGGGCGCCGTGGGTAGCAGACGCTATATAAGGGGAGCTGACAGTAAATTACCCACAATTACGCGTTAAAGGGAGTGACTACAGTACAGTAAGCACTGACCTCAATCATTAGTTGCGCAGCGCACGCTGGAATAGTTGAAAGTGAGAGCTGCCCGCAGAGACCAACACCAGCTGGCAGGAGCCGGCAGGAGCTGGCAGGCGAGACACGCCAAGGACACGCCGAATATAAAGCAAGCGGAGTCATCATAAATCAAAGGGTAGCATACTGCGAACGAAAGGTCAGAGACGCGCAGTTGCGCCCTTGTCTCGGAGTAAAAACTGACTGCTTGTTTATTGCTGAGAATCGGGCAAGATTTATGGTTGTATTCAGATGAAGTCGTTGCGCCGCACAAAAACAAAAGACAACTGCACTGGAGTCGAGCAAGTCCCACAAAAACTGTGGCCCGATGGGTACGAAAGACTCTGCTGAAGCTGGTTTGCTTTTTATTTTCCTTTTCTTCTTTTTTTTTGGCAGTATGGATGTGCCAAAGATTGTGGAGATTGAACGCAGAACATGCAGCTTGAGAATTGAACGACAATTGAAAAGAGTCGAGCGGTTTTTTGTGGGGTATATAGTGGGTCGAGGTGGAGCCGTATTTTATAGAGCTGAATCCATTTGAAGGTCTACAAGTGTTTAAAGTAATTGTCAAAGCAATCACAGAGCAAATGCAATTTTAGTATTTTTTAAAAGCTGCTGCTGTGAGGGAAGAATTTATGCTTAAGGAAAAAAAATGATTACGTATACGCACAGCATAACAGCGAGATAATATCTATACTATGAGTTTAGCTGTTGTAAGGAAAACATATATGCTTAAGGAAACAAACTATTAAGTTTACTATACATACATTTATTAATATATTTTTACTAATAACTGCAAGGCTAGATGCATACTGTGCGTATACTTAATTCAATACAGCCCATTGTGTGTCTGGGAAATTCGTAATCTGCTCTGAACGAAGTAACAACAATTCCTTTCCTCAATTGTCATATTGCATTCAGTGCAATATTATTTAAAATATTACGTATACGCCTAGTATACTTGAATTTGAGTAAAGCCGAATTTCAAGCAATTACCAATCAAATCTTACACAGAATTGAAGCCTGCATAAAAACGTAAAATATTATGTTTGTATAAGATATATGCTTGAGCATTGCTGTTTACCAAACACCTCCAATTGGAGTTTATCAATTCTCAAAGGCGTGCCAATTAGAAATGCTTGAATCGCAGCTGCTTATAAGAAAACCAGAAATGAAATATTATGATTAGCAGAGACTGCCTAACCAACAACTTAATAGGAAATGAAACAAACCTTTTACCCCACTCAAAAAACCCATTCCACTATGAAATACCTTTGCAATGCCCACAGACCCAGGAAGCGCAGCAGTTAATAGCAACAAAGAATATGATGTAGACGTGATGTAGGCAGGGGCAGGCATCATAGCCAAGCGAAAAAAAAGAAACTTTCGTAATATCCCGTTTAGCCAACGGAAGAAAGTTCCAATTAAAAGTTGCTGCAAAGCAAGAGGCAGCCAAGCGTCAATTGCCACAAATCAACTTTTACATTAATTCATTTTGAAACAGATGAAAGAAATGAAGGAGAGAGAGAGATAGAGAGAGAGAGAGAGATGGAAAGCGAAAATGGGAACGTCAAGAGCGCACTTGAGTGAGTGACAGACAAGACATGCTCCAAATATTTAAGGCCTCCGTCGAAGCCGAGAGCAAAACAAACTTGATAGCTTAGCGGCCGCTCTGTGATAAAGGAGCAGGGGAGGGAGGAGGAGGGAGGAGAGGGTGCGACAGGGACTTACACTGTGAGCGGCTTGTAATCTATTTAAAGTGAGTCGCGGCCACTAAAACTCAATTAACCCCCTTTGAGCACAGAGCAAGGCTGCACGAAGAAGAGAGAAGCAAATAGCAATAGAAAGAGCGACAGAGATAGAGAGAGCGAGAGAGAGAGAAAGAGACGGGGAGGAACAAAACAAAACGTACAAATCAAGGCAAAAGATTACAAACGGAAATCGCTGGCCATTGAATGGCATTCAGGGGGTGAGGGGGGAAGGCACAGTGCATGTGGGCGTGGCTGGCAAGAAGAAGAATTTTTTCACTTAAAACCGCATTGATACTCAATTACCAGCGAACGGGTTGCCAGGTCGACGGGTCGACGGGCTGCCACTCGAACTTGAGGGCAGCAAGAGCAGAAAACAAACATCGGATGTTGAGCACAGGAAAGCGGAAGCACTTTGCAACGGAAATGAAACATCAATTAAAGTCGCGCACTGCTCGGCCAGGCCAGGCACTGGGCCAGYCCCGGGTCGATGCCAAAAAAAAAAAAGAAACAGAACAATATATTGCTTTTCGTCCAAATGCCAGCATTGTTAATCCTTGCGGCTGCCCAGCGAATGGGATTGGGCACGTGCCCCGACAGCGGGTGTTCTGCCCTGAATGCTGCCCTCTTGTCTGTCCGGAGTCGGCGGCAAATCTGGCAGTGCCAAAGGCCGATTGTTCCCCCTTAGATTGCGGTTTAATTGGAAGGTTGATTGAGGCAAGGACGAATGGGATTAATAATTTATCAAAATTGCATATTTTGTTTCGCTTCGTTAAAAATATGATGCAGCTAACGATATTCGATATTAATCGATATCGATAATAATTGATTTAACGATCAGTACAGATTTGATTGTTTCCTTATATTGAATGGGCTTTATGATCGAACTGGACCGAATTGGAAATTTCGTTGATTTTGATAATGTTGTAATGCATTGTCACTAAAAGAGAGAGGGTGAGAGAGAGAGATAAGCAGAGACAGAGACCTAAATCAGTTGCTGAACGTGGTTCTTGTGTTGTTGAGTGAGAGCTTAGGGCTGCCATGATTTCGATACTCAAGAAGAATGCAAAGAGTTTGATAAAACAAGTCAACAAATGGACTTGGCATAAAAAATAAATAAAAGAATTGAGTGAAATCGATTAGAACTGATTGCATCAAACCAACCTCTGACTTATGTATATGAAATGCTATGATATAT